AAACCTTAAAAGAATACTTGCAATGTCAACTGCTTGGCTCTTGGTGGTAAGAAGAAACCACAGAGGCTGAGGACCCACAGCTCAAGCTGACACCGGCAAATTACAACCCACCTCTCCGGTGGATTCTGTGGGGCCTGGCCCTGACCTACACGGAAGGAGTGGACACTGGATCCAAGGGAAGGCTGATTTTCACTTCTCCACAGCCTCCCCGGGTCGCAGCTTGCTCTCCCCACAAGGGGAGCCCTCCCCACAGAGGAGACCACCCATCCCTTGTTCTTCTGCCACCTTTCCTCCGACTGCAGAGCCTTCGATGTCACAGTCTTGTCAATGTTTCGAGTGCAGAGAGTTGGCAGGGGCGGCAGCAGTGAGGAGGGAGAGGACGGGCAACGAGACCACCTCTAGCTGCTGGTCTGTCAAAACCTAGAGGCCAGGAAGGAAGAAACCAGAAGGACGCCCGGCCACAACAGTCAAGGCCCCCACGTGTCTTACAGGTAAAGGCCAGGACCAGAGGCCTGATGACGCTGAGCTCCCTGCACCCGAGAGTTGCCCTTTGCTTTGGGAGAAAACATACTTGTCCCCTTATCACCTATAATTTCTGTACAAGTCCTGTCACACAGTGGAGCCCATCCCTAGGCCCCTAAATTTAAAAGATGATTGATGGTCCCTTCCCAGGCCAAGAGGATGACTCCCCTGGCTCCCAAGCAAGAAGTCTCCAGAACGGCTCCTTCCACCTAGACCCTGGCCATGCTTTCCAAAATGCAACTGACAGACTGTGAGCTTGCCCCGAGCTACAAATAAAGTCACAGACTTGATGCTGTTTATGATTCCGGTCTCCTTCTAGGGCGTGTTTTGGTGTCAGTTTATGTGTTGGAGAAACTGTGATAGCAAACTAATTTACTAAGTGCATTGCACTTCAAAACGTCTATTTTATACACCAGATCAGTCTGCGTCATGTAATATTTCTTGAAGGGAGGTGACTCATCTGTCTGCAGGTCCCCAACTCGGAACAGGCCCCACTGTGCATACAGTCATGCCCGACATGCAACTGATAACCGAGAGCCATCCTCGACGCTCACGGGCTGTGCACGGAGGAAGCCACGCACCAAGCATCCATGCCACTCACAGAGCACAGGACAAAAAAAAAGGAGCGGGGAGAGGAAGGGACAGACAGACAGGGAGAGAGGGAGATAGGCCCAGAATGTTCTAGAGGACAGCCTACTTCAGAGAGGCAGCAGAAAGTAAGATGTTGATGCTTGAATGTTTCATGAGCCTGAGAAAATACTTCGCTGCTTTAGCAAAGAACGTGGGGAGAGGCTGCAGCTTACCAAACGGTGCAGGAGCAAATGGGGGTGTTCACAGGGCCGGTGCCCGTGCTGGGAGCAGAGGCCTGTGGCAGGCGGGGGTTAGGGGATGGCAGTTTCCGCAGGAAAAGGGTCCCTGCTAAAGGTGGGAGGGTGGGTTTCAAGATGGTTTTTTCCCCTTCACTTGTTTAAAAATAAAAAATTCCTCACCAAATGTCAGCTGCTGTCAGGTTCCATTTGTCTTTATAACAGAGTATCAAACAGGAGTGTGGAAATAATAAACACAGGGAGACAACCGACCAGAACTTGCAGGCTCTGGGCTGGGCTGGGCCGGGCCAGGCTGGGCTGGAGGAGGGAAGCCCCACCCTGCAAGGGCTGAAAAATAAGGTTACAATTTTGCATTCAGCACTGGCACTGTGGCCCACGGAGATGCTGTCCTGTCTTTACTGCCCCGCTCCCCACCGCCACCACTCCGGCACTTCTGAGCAGGACAGGAGCGTGACTTGTGCACTCCTTCATTCCAAATTGCACAGGCAGCATGGGTCAGACCATGCTCTGCATATATGGGGAGGGCCCCTGCCCCCAGCAGCAAGGCACCTCCAACCGCCACACACCAGTGTGAAGTTGCCTTAGGCCAGGGCTGAATGTGGCTGGGAGGCAGGTGTCAAAGAAGGCCGCAGGGGAGAGGCAGCCGGGCTGAACCAGCCAGGGAAGACGGCATTTTCTCTGGCCACTACGGCGCTTAGTGCATCCCCGGACACCAAAGAGCCCGATAATCTCTCCATTTCACCGATGCGCCATCAGCCACACTCCAAGTTGAGTAAGTGACAGGCACAGGACAGAAGACCCACTCTGGAATGGCACCCAGGAGGCCTCCTGGCTGTAATTACCTCTTCGCAGGCCCTGTGCTTTGCTGGCTCTTGAATGAGCCTCCGGAGCCCTCCCCACGTCCTCAGCAGCCTGACGGCAGGTGCCCGCAGCGCCTCCAGTGGCCCCAGGACCATGTCAGAGGAGGGAGGGCGATGAGGGCAGGCAGCAGAGCCCCCAGCCCTGTCCTCGGTGCTGGCGCCCGCTGTGCACCCGCTGAGCCACTCAGAGGCAGGGACAACCCATGCCGCCCGCTTCCTTCCAGCCCAGCCTCTGGTGCCTGTGGAAGGGCAGTGAATACTCCCAGCCCCTCTGTGGTTCCCGACCTAGGCCCCTGGGTACGGAGCGTTTGCAGCAAAGGCCCTATTCGAGAAAGGGGCTGAGCCTCAGGACTTTCCTGGACTCCTGGCTCCTCCTGGCAACCCAAGGCGACCTGAGGTCCCTGGCTTGGGCACGGGTCTCTCTAGACCCCAGGCCCCTAAGGGAAGGTGGATCAAAGCCATCATCCAGGTTCCCTTTTGTTTGGGGTGGGCGGGAGGGGGGGCAGCTGATAGAAATAGGCAACTCACACCAGAAAACCCCCAAGCCGTGCAAGGGCAAACAGCCCAGAACCAGTGGCAACCCCCACCGCCCGCAGGCAGCTACCTCGCCAGGCCCGGGCCGTCTCGGCTGGAGTGCAGGTGTGCCCCTTCAACAGTGCTTCTGCTCCTTAACCCCTTCGGGAGTCCCCATGTCACCCACTCTGTCATCCTCCTGGGGACAGCCTTGCCCTCCCAGAAGCTGTCAGACAGGAAACGAGGGGTTAAGCGTGGGTTCCAGGAGTGTGAGCTGAGCACCATGCCCCCTCAGGAAGGCCTCCAGCCTCCGGGGAGGGGCGGGGGTGTCAGCCTCGGTCCTGGGCCGAAGGGAGCTCCTTGCCCGCAGGAGGCGGAGAGGGAAGGCTCGTGCCCGGATAGTTCCAAGAAGCCTCCTCTCCTCCGCCCCCACCCCACCGGCGCTCAGCGGCCTGGGGTGACCCCCCCAGCAGCCCATACCCGGCTTTCATCAGGCAGGCCCTTCTCGGCAACTTTTCTCCCTCTCTCTCTTCACAAATTTCGCTCACCTGGAGGGTCTGGTTTTAATTAGTGTAATATCCCCGTGAACAACACAGCCTAATTAAGACATCCGCCCCGAATCCGCGATGCACACTTAATGAGCAGGCTCTGCCGCAATGTTTATACTTTTATTTTTTCATTATTTTTTGCAGACCAGTAAAACCGAAGCCGACTTCCGGCTGAAAGACCTCATTACGGCGACCCCACTCCATTAGCCTCCTACCTGCTCCACGCTAAGTGCCAGGGGCTCCCGGGTGCGCGCCCAAGGCGTCCCCGAGTCCAGCCTGCGTTTTCAGCAGGAAATTAGCGACCGCTGCGCCCGAGAAGCGACTTCGCCTCGAGCTGGGGCAGGAGGGGGGACCTAAGCCCAGGGATGGATCCCTTGGGTCTCTGTCCTTAGCCTCCACCGCGGGGTGTCTCGCGCTTCAGGACCAGCGGCTCCGCGGGAGTCTTTTTTAAAAGTGATCATTAAATAAATCAGGTCCCCTGCCAAAGCTGGAACGGAAAGCGGAGCGGGAGGCAGCTCTGTCATCCAGGAGTTTCTCCCCACCTCGCTGGGCCCCCGCCCTGCCAGTGGACTCCGGGAACATCCCACCCCCACCTCATGTGAGACTAGGGATCCCAGGGCCGCTTGGGGACCCGACAGGTTCCCGAAACCCCTCCACGCTGGGCGCCGCGCCTTGGTCCGCGCGCCGACACTGCAGGGCTGCGCGCCACGGAAGGCTCCGCGCCCGGGGAGGGAGGCTGCGACCTGCAGCTCCAAAATGACCACCGGCCTGGCGCCCCACCCCGCCCCACAGGAAACCACCCTCCTGAGGGGACGAGCCCCAGACGCCCCTGGTGAGCCCTACCACCGCCCGGGGCCACCGGGGCAGAAAGTTTGGGCCAGGGGTGTGCCCGATTTCCCAAGCCTGACCAGGCTGCTCGAGCCCCTGGGGGCGGCCAAGGCTTCGGAGAGGCAGCCTCCGCTCCCGCCGGAGCCTTCCTAATGCGCTCGCTCGGGGACTTGGCCGGGAGCGCCCCCAGCCCGCCCCCTGGAGGGCCCTGCGCGCCGCTCGCTGGCTCACACCTCGCCCCCGCGCATGCTGCGGCGACCCGGGCCCCGCTCCTATCTGGGGAGCTGTGGCAGCCCCTGCCTCCCCACAACTCCTTTGGGTCATCAACCTCTCAGCGACCCTCCTTCCAGAGGACCCAGCAGGGCTCTCTCGGGGCCTGGGGACCGCTACAGAAGCACTCTGCACCACCGCCGGGTCGCCAGCCCCTCTCCCACCCGCGCGGGCTCCAGCTGCCTCCCCGGACGCGCCCCGCGGGGCCGGGATCTCCGCGCGCCTCGGCCTCCCCCCGCCGGGGAGTTCCCCGCGCCGGGCATTGTGCCGCCGCCGCCGCCGCCACCACCGCCACCGCCACGCAGCGCGCACGGGACTTCCCGGCGTCTCCATGGAGCCCGACCCCCGGGCCTTCCCGTTCACAAAATCGCCCCTCTCACCCACGGCCGGGCGGAGCGTCCGGACCCCAGCCCCAGAGGGACCCAGGGACCCCGACCCCGGGCAGGGACCCCTGACCCCGAGGGCGCCACCCCTCCCCACGCGCCCTCAGGTCAGCCCCGGCCACGCTCCGCGTTCCGAATCCCGCCGCAGGGTCCCGTGCGCCCCTCCCCGACCGTGACCCCCTCCCCCAGCTCAGCCCGCTGGTAATGACCGCCACAGGGCGAGGCGGGCGACAAGGGTCGGCTACTCACGGGCTCAGCGCTCCCCGCGGCAGATGACGGGGGGCCGGCGGCCATGCCCCGGCTGCATCCCGGCCGCTGAGCGGGCAGCGGAGTCCCGGGGCCGCACTGGCACCCGCGAGCCGGCGGCAAGGGGCGGGCGAGGCCCGGCTCTGGCGGCCGCGGTGGCAGCTGCTTCTCCTCCGACCACGCAAGCTGCTGGGGCCCGGCTGGGGCAGCTGTCCGAGGAGGTTCTGCTGGCTCCGGAGCAGCCCCGCGCTTGCTCTTCCCTCGCCGCCTCCCTTCTCTTCTCCTCTCTCTCTCTCTCTCTCCCCCCCCTCCTCTCTCCGCCCTCCTTCTCTCTCTCTCTCTCTCTCTCTCTCTCTCTCTCTCTCTCTCTCTCTGTGTCTCTCGTTCCTCTGGCTCGCTCGGCTGGAGCGAGGCGGCAGCAGGAGCACGCGGCGGCGGCGGCGGCGGCGGTGGCGGCTCCAGCCGAGCGCGCAGCGCGCTGCAAGGGAGGGGGCTCAGGCGGTTGCGCGGCCAGGGAGGGCTGGGAGCGGGGAGAGACATGGCCGGGTGTGCCTAGGCCGTCAGCACCCTGCGGCCTTCAGCGCCACCCCTTGGGGCAGGAGCTTGGAAGAGGTAGGTACACAGCGAGGATTCCAGAACCCAGTGGTGCCCTGGTCCCCTCAGGGGCAGCCCCAAGCCCACAGCTTCTTTCCACCTCCAGATTATCTTGGGGGCTGTCCAGCCCGGGTGACCCCTAACAGGACCCCTGACCTGGTGACTCACTGTCCCTAAGGGCCATTTTTCTGTCCCAGGCCCAGGGATCCCCAGCAATGGGATGTGGTCACCGAGCATCAGGGACCAATGCCACCCCACCCCACATGCCATGCCATGCCTTCGAGTGGCCCGAATGCCCCATACCCCCTTACTAGGCCCAGGTGCCCTGACTTCTGGGGGATCACCGGAGAGGACGCAATCGGGCCCACTCTAGGTTGTTAGTCCAGATTGGCCAACCCAACCCATTTACAATTGTCCACCTGCACATGGCTGGAGAGGAGGGGCTGTGGGGGTCAGCTTAGGATTTGCTAAAATCAGAAGATCAGGCAGCTCCTGTCCCCAGTCCCAGCCTCCCCCAGCCTCTAGGGTAAGGGGCCTGGTGTGGGGTCTGGGAGGGTCTCTATCCTTGGTGCAGAGAGAGCAGGAGAGCAGAGGCTAAAGACACGGTGGAATGGGGACCCTCTGGACAGGCAGGAGAGCTCTACCGCTGGGGTCAGCCCACCACTGGCACGCCGCACCAGAGGTGGGAGAGGTGGGCAAGAAGGCCCAAACAGGTTTGTGCAGGCCTGAGCAATCGTTTCCAAAACAAAAGGCATTCTGGTGCAGCACCCGGGCTGAGGAACTGGCCTGTACCCTCGAAGGACATTCCTAATCTAAACCTTCCCGGGGTTGCTTTTGCTCCTGAAGGCTGCTTCTGGAACAATTAGCCTCCTCCTCACACCTGACTGTCCTGCTTTTCCGTGGGAGGCAAAAAGCACATCACGGAATCTGGGGTTTGGTAGGGGTCTGGAAGACCCGGAGGCCGGTAAGGGTGGGGGCATGGACTTGGAGCTTCTCCGTGCTAGGGGCTCTGGGCTGCTGGCTGCCCGCCCTGCAGGGCAGCAGAGATGGTGGCCAAGACAGTGGCTGCTGCCCTCTTACGAGCTTCATGTTTTGAATTTGTGGCCCTCCAGCCTGTCTGGGTCACTCATCTGTGTTGGCTGGTGGGAATCATGTTATACAATTCCAAGCATACAGCTAAACACCCTACAGCTAACCAGCAGATAAACGCCTTGTCTACGAGCAAGGCAGCTGCCTGGTTGACTGAACCTTCCCCAGCCCCCGGATTCGAAATGGCGCATCCCAGCTCAAAAGCCCTAATTGGGCCTCTCAGTTCTCTGCTGTCAGATGGTCCAGGCTTCCTGGCCTCCAACTCCCCGGCTGGGCCCAGCTACTGCCTGGCTGGTGCCCGTCTCCCTGAAGGCAGGGCTGTGCCAGCAGTGCCCCCTGTCGGTCCCGCCTGTCCCCTGCCCACATTTCTTCTCCCCTGGGAGTCCTTTCCTCCCTGGTCCAGACCCTACTGCCCTTCGGAGCCTCCTCACAGAAGCCTCTCAAAGAATGAGGCTCGAGCCCACCTCTGTCTCCCTTCGGCTCCGCATGCAAGTTCTGCGTGTGTCTGTGAAATGGGGACACATTTACCTGGCACAGCTGTGTGCCTGAGTGGAAAAGGTGTCCCTGCAAAGCACAGGACTCCATAAGTCACTCCTCAGGGACGTTCTAGAAGAGCTCTCTCAAAACAGCACCAAATCTTATTCCAGGCTCCACTGGGCCCAGCCCCATACTCAGGACACAGTGGCCCTGCTGAGACACCCGGGTGGCGAATTGAAATTGGCCTCTGTGGTTTAGACTGGCCACAGGGCCTGCATGTGAGGATGCCCCTTGGGGACAGGCCCCTGTCAGGCCAGCTTCATGACCAGCCCCAGAGAGTTTGCCCTTCACGCTCAGCTGTCATAGACGGATCTGGCTGGAAGAGAGCGCGTGTCGGGGCCGGCAAGACGCCCCAGCACTAACCAGGAGGGTTTCCATTTGGGGATATCATCTAAGAGAATTTTTTAAACCTCTGATTTAGAAACTTTAATTTTTAAAGAGTGAGCACATGGGGAGGACTGGAGCGTCCTTGGCAATACTCAGGAGGAGAGAAACACAGGGAGGCTGGGCTTGGGGCCAACAGGACAACTGAATGCACAGAGCTCATTCCGTCCCTCTGAAAAATGCCACTAGAGCTACGAAGAGAACATTTGTGAAAGGGGCTGGGTACGGTGGCTCATGCCTGTAATCCCAGCACTTTGGGAGGCCGAGGTGGGTGGATCACTTGAAGTTAGGAGATCGAGACCAGCCTGGCTAACATGGCAAAACCGCTTCTCTATTAAAAATACAAAAATTAGCTGGGCACAGTTGTGGGCGCCTGTAATCCCAGCTCCTCGGGAGGCTGAAGCAAGAGAATTGCTTGAACCCAGGAGGCGGAGGTTGCGGTGAGCCGAGATCGCACCACTGCACTCTAGCCTGGGCAACAAGAGCAAGACTCTGTCTTAAAAAAAAAAAAAAAGGCATAAACCCCCAAAGACCTGGAGAACAGGAGAAAATAGAACAGTCACTGGCGTGGGCAGCAGGGAGGCACAGGATAAGTGGCAGCTAGCCCTCGCAAAGCTGAGTCTTGGCCCAGCGGCAGGGAAGGCTGACAAAGGAATCTCCCAAAGGCTCAGAACTAGCGGGACCCCAGACCTGGGGAAGCCTGGCCCTCTGGAGATTTATTCCCTGGGGATGCTGAAGCGGCCTCTGTGGCCTGGGAGCCACCACACACTGTGGACTGAGGGGCATCCTGCATGGAGAACCCCCTTCCCCCCCACAGCATCTGTCAGGATCCCGACCTCCAGACCCCAGAATCTCCTCTGGGGAAATCTGATCAGCACCCAGAGGGGAAACACGAAGACAGAGCTTTGCTGCTTCCCAGCGCAGGCGGGGAGCTGCCAACCAGCTTTGCAGCCCCCCTAAGCTGAGTAGAAAGCCAAGGAGGACCAAACACCTGCGGAAAGCCTTCCCGAGAAAGAGCTGCCAAAACACCCACAGCACGGGGCCAACTTCGAGGAAACAGCCATTAGGCAGGGAGGAGAAAATATCAGAAATAGTCGTACTTAATATCCTCCCAGAGATCAGAGGACACACTGCATCCGTGAACCAAGAGCAGGTGCTATTTTAAGGAGAACATTTAGAGAACAAAAAAGCTGGGAAGTTAAAAGCATGAGAGCAGAAACAAAACATCTCAACAGACTGGCTGGAAGAAAAAAGCAAGGGAATGCCCCAGAAGGCAAAGAGGAGAAAAAGAAGAAAGACGGGATGAAAAACTAGATGATCAATCCGTGCAGCTCAACACAAAAGGAATCTTAACCCCACCCCCATAGAGCCCCCAGAGAGAAGGAGGAGGAAAAGAAGAAAGCAAATCATCATTTAAGAATTTGTTTTTTCAGAAATAAGTTTCCAAATTGCCAACAAAATCGATGGAAATTGGCCCCTATCAAGGCATATTATCTTGAAAAGCAAATCACTGGGGATAAAAAAATAAAGCTTCCCCATTTCCAGCCACCATAAAAAAGAGCAGGAATGAGAACAGCTTCAGAATTCTCAAAACAGGGCAAGCTAACCAATCATGGAGCGTGCCTTCAGAAGCTGACAGAAAATGATTTCTGGCCTGGAATTCCTCACTTTGCAAAATTAACAATCAAATGTGAGATTGGAACAAAGATATTTGCACACGCAAGGTCTCAACAAAATTATTTCCCGCACTCCCTCTCTCAGCTACCAGAGGATGTGCTCCAACAAAACCAGGGCGTAAAGCATGAAAGAGGCCGATGAGAGATGGAGGAAACAGAGGATCCAACAAGTGGGGAGGGATCCACAGGGTGGGAGAGGAGGGCTGGCAGGAGGGCAGCTGTGTACCAGGCAAGGGGTTCCCAGTCCAGATGACAGCAAGGTGGCAGCATGTCCAGGTGGTGGCATGTCCAGCTGTCTAGGGCTCAGACACGTGGAGTGCTGTCATTACCAAGATGTCTACTGCCATTGTACCAGCCTTTCAATGCCAGGCGAGCCCAGCCCCTGCACCCCTCTGAGCCTGGCAGCTCAGGCCATGTTGCAGTGGAGTGCCCATTTGCCTCTATGCCACCTGTGTGAGCTAAAGACCTTCACTTCACCCCACAGAAGCATCTACTTTGATCTACTCTTAGCAACAGGAGGCAGTCATGGGGAGCAAAGAAACAGAAAACACACATGAGCCCAACAACCCCCCAGATGTCCCAGCCGAGGAGGCCCTTGGTTCCCCAGGAGTCCCTCATGCCTTGCTCACGAGCTCCCTAAAAGAGGCTCCTGTAAAGTGTGGGGCAGCTGCGGTCCCAGACTTTCACCTTCTCTTCTCCCAGGCTCCTCCGTCTAAGGGTAGCAGCCCCAAATCATCACGGATGGAATCATGGCCCCACTTTCATATTCAGTACTGGACACGCCCACAGATAGGAAGCAGTGAAGGTCCAACTGCAGAAGAGTCAAGGAAAGCAAGACATCAGGGGCCAGCTTTTCCCTTGCTGGACATGGATGTTCTTGTGAGGTCCACGGACGGCCAGGCTGTGGCAGAGCTGATGTCACGGACGGCCAGCCTGTGGCAGAGCTGATGTCACCCCATCAGCGGCCTCGCTTGCCCTCTCAGCCCAACAGAGTCCATTATAAGGTTACTCAATACAGC